AGCTTCAAGATGAGGTTCCAGCTGCCATAGCCATACCTCTTCATACTAACCAAGCCTGACCCTAAGCTTCTCCTGATTAGGCATTCTCAACTGCCCCAAGATACATGGGGGTGCAAAACAGACTTGATGTCCTCTTCTCTGAGTTCACTTTTTTTCTTTTTCTTCGGGGGGTGGTTCTGGGGACTGAACTCAGGACCTTTCACTTACAAGGCAGGCGGCAGAACCACTGAGCTAAATCCCTGGCTCTCTCTGAGTTCAATTTTACTGCTGGGAGAAATATTAAGCAACCAGGCACTTATGACCCAACAAGATGTATACCTTGATGGGTGAAGCAAGGGACAGTGGGAGCATGAAAGAGTCCTCTGATCTAGGCTGGAGGACAGGTTTCTCTGAGAAACCACAAAGTAGATGCCCCGTAAATATATACTGAAAAATTACTGATGTGCCAGCTAAGCTGGTGTTTGAGGTAGAGTGAACCAGATTGGCCCTGGAGGGGCAACGAATGTCAGGAAAAGGAGGGGAAAGATCTCAGGAGCTGCTGAGAACTTGGCTAGTTTGGGGAATTGATGCTGAAACTCCGTTGGCCTGGCTGGATTAGTCATCTTCCTGGAGTTGTTGCTTCCTGTTCAGATTGGCCTTGGAGACCTCCTAGCATCTGTACATCAGGGCTGGCAGCATTACCTCCTTCTGATTTTTTTTTTAAAGGCTGGCTCTCCATCCATGCAAGTAGGTTAGTAACCTGGGAACCCAGAAATCTTCATGGTTTAAGGCCCAAAGTGCTCCTAGGTTTGGCAACCATGAACTTGGTATAATTTTGCATTGAAGGCTCCAGAGAGTGAAGACCCAAACAAGCCAGGGCCATGCCTGAGGCCACACAGCAGGCTGGACTCTTAACCATGTGGACTGGAAGATTCCTTTCCTAAAGTTACCCTTGCCTATAGGCCCCCTTTTCAGTGCCCTTTCTTGTTTGGGGGTTGAATAGAGCCCTGACAGCTCTGCCCAGGTGGGGGCGCAGGATTCTTGAGCTGAGCCCATCCTGGCAGATGAGCTTGATGGGGTGGGGGTGGTAGAGTGGGAAAGGCAGGGACTAGAAGGGCAGGAGGAGGCTGCAGAATCTGGGCCTGGTTGGAGAGAGGAGTGAAGGAAGCAGGCTTTCTGATATGCCTCCCCTTTCAGGCAGTCATAATGGAGGGGGGCACAGAAGCTTAGTTTCTAATTAAGCCCAGCCCAGTGTCTCCTTGTTCCCCATTAGCACCCCACAGCATCCCCAAGGCATTTTAAACTTCCACCCTGCTGAGGAGACTGGGATGGCCGCCAGGACCTGCCAAGCTTGATGTGCTTAGGCTGTGAGGGGCAAGAAGCCAAATCAGGCTTCCCCCACCTCTCCGAAGCAGTCTCTGGGTCCTTTGGTCTCCCCAGAAGCCCAGAGGGACCTTCGGTCCACCATATCAACATCTGAGGATTTGAGTGAAATCCAGACTATCTCCTTGTCTCCAGTACCACTTCCTGACCCTAAAGTGCAGTATAGGACAGAGGATCTGCTCTTTCTGCAGCAGCCCCCAGACTCAAGAATAATCTGTCAGAATCCAGCACAAATAGAAGAGGCTGTGAGAAGCAAGTAGCAATTACCATTTTAAGTTAAGGCATCCTTGGCTTGTTAACCCTTGCAGCAGCGGGGATCCTGGAAGCCAAATTCTCCCTCCCTTTCTTTCCTTCCCCCTCCATGCCTTACCTTCTGCAAGCCATCTTCTAGTACCTGGCAGAGTGAACGTTAAGACTTGAGGCCCCCCACTCCCCCTTTTCTCACTATGCTCTCAAGCGAACTCAGAGAGGTGGTAGAGCGGGTGCGAGGTCACACAGCATAGAGGCAGCCTCCAACCCAGGAGACCCAATCTCACCGGTTTCACTGCTTCCACCTTCACAGTCTCCCCAGGCCACATTCACACATGCAGAGTTTAATTAACTTTATTGATATTCAGAAATTAGGAGAATGACTAAAGGTAATTGCTCATTAAAAATCATTAAACTGACACAGCAGGCCTGGGCAGCTCAGCCTCCCCTGCACTGCCTTCTTCCCTCAACATGGCAAGATCTCCCCCAAATTGCCCATGGGTTGGGAGGATACCCCGTGGTCCCTGTGCCCCTTAGGTCTGGGGCTAATTCTTCACAGCGGGTGCAGAAGGGAATAGGGGACTGGGTCCATGAAGTGGGCCCATTCTCACCCTATATCCAAACCTGGGGCTTCTGCCTCCCAGGACTGCTGCTGCTTCTGGGCTGTGCCTGGCTGCAAGAGCCTCAGATGTGAGCGAAGCTCTGGGGGCATGGAGACTGCTAGCCTGAGGGATGCATCTCTTTGGCCACAGAGGCTCACAGCCCTAGGTCTTTGCTCCTCAAGGCTCTCCTTAACTGAAGTCTCCAGGAACTCTGAGATGGCCAAATGCACTGTCTCCCAATGGGAGGACTCAGTACCCTCAACAACCAAAATCACAGCTAGAGAGGGAGGGGCCTCTGGGCCACCCAGCCCCAGTACCCATGCCTTCACCTGCCATGCTCGGCACTGCCAGGTTTCCTCCTCCTTTCCCTTGAGGAGTGAAAGTAAAGGTTTTTCTCAATAGTCAGATCCCTGCCCCAAGATGAGCACTGAAGACCCTACTGAGTCAGAGAGGGTCACTAGCAGGGGACACAAAGACTTCCAGCCACAGAGTGGGCAAATTCATCCCCACACCCACCCCCACAAACTCAGGGGACTCCCAGCCATGTTAGCTTTCCTCCTGGAGACCTGAAGTCTCAGTCCAACCCCCAAGGAGTCCTCTGGCAGTGGCTGTAACCTCGTATGACTGGCCTCACATGGGTCCACTACTGAGTTCTCGCCCATTATTCAGACCTTCCCAAGCACACACAACCTGGGACTTGCTCCTCCAGACACACAAGGTGCCAATTACACTCACACTAAGGCACATGCACTCACACAGGAGGCCCTAGAATGCATGCCAGGGAATAGACACAGGCCCTGTGCCTCAGGGGGAGCTGTCCAGAGCAAGGATGTGGCCAGACTCCAATACAGATCCTGAATTCAGACGGATGCGCTGGACTGCTAGCAACCCTGTCTCTGGGCTTCTCCTTGCCCATTCTAGTCCCTGGGGGGTGAGGGTTTAGGGATTCTTCCTCTTCGCCTCAACATGAACTCACGGTTCCAAGTTACCCGTGTCGCTGGGCAACACTTAAGTAGAGCTAAAAGCTCAGAGCGGCTTCCACCCCCTTGGGGCGATAGAGCCAAAAAATCTGCCCTGCAGGGGCCCAGCGATGCCCTGACCTAGACTTGGAGTGGAAAGATCCAGTGCCGAGGTTAGAAATTCCCCCGCTTCCCTCCTCCACAGCAGGCGCTACAAACCATGTGGCGGGGGACCGCGGTTCGCAACTCCGAGCCCGGTTTCTACCCCACTAGCCAGTAGAAACGGGAGAAAGACCTGAGCAATCCGCTTCGAAAAACAGCTTGTTTGAACCGGGACAGCAGGTCCAGACAACACTCCGAAATGTTCCTTCTCCGGGGCACAGAACCCTCATCCTTTCCCCAAACTCCCCTTCTGCCTACTCCAAGACCACGCTTCCCCTGACCCGAAACCAATGAAGTTGAGGATGTCACTCCCCGCGGGGGCTGGGGCCACAGGGTTGGGAATCAGTCCTCTCGCAGGAGGTCTGCCTGCCGTCTTGGTGTGGAAAGGTTAGGAAGACCCGGGGGGGTGGGGAGATAGAGCTCTGGGCGTGTTCGTGTGTGTGTGTGTGTGTGTGTGTGTGTGTGTGCGCGCGCGCGCGCGTGTGTGTGTGTGTGTGTGTGTGTGTGTGTAGGACTTCGGGGAGGACAGACTATCCCGGGACGTCTTTTTCTGCAGCCCAGGGCAGAGAGGGGAGCCACATACTTGGCCCCGGGGTCTTCAAGTGTCTCCCCATATTGTGCTCTAGGTTCTGATTCTGGCATGCCAGTTACTAAGGCGGAGGGAGGCGAGCGACGTCCTAACCCCAGGTCCGGCCGACATTCGGCCGGGTTCCTCCGCAGTAAGGATGAGAAAGGCCCCGGAACCGGCGGCGAAGGCCTGGGAAGT